AAAAAAAAATAAAAATCACAGAACTATCCCACAGTTCACAAAAAATCACGCAGTCTTGAAATGAAATTGAAGGCTATCAGTTGTGACTGACCGTAGACTACCATCGATCGTCGCTGACAACTGAAAATTCTGACCTTAGACTACCTACTATTTGAGGAAAATTTAGGAGAGAGAGAGAGATGGAAGGTTAGGGATTAGGGTTGTGTTTGTGAGAGTTTGTGTTCATTTTTTTTTAAAATTAGGATAGCGGGTCGGGTTAAGATTTGGGCGGGTCGTAAATCATAATAACTAATAGGAAATTAGAAATTGACAAATATACCAACAAAATGATAAAATTATTGAATTTACAAAATTGAAACTTCGGATAAATTTTCAAAAAAATTCAATTTTTTTATTTTTTATTTTTTATATTTTTTCGCTGGTCCGGTTTGATTTTAAACCGTAATTAAAATTCTCAAACCTAAACCAAACCGTTTTTGATCAGTTTAGTTTGGTTTAAAACCATTTCGTTGACGGGTCCACGTGGTACCAAACTGTCGGTTTCGAAATTGCTGTTTCGGTTCGATTTTTCGGTTTGACGGTTTTTACTTGCAGCCTTATATGTAGGGAATAGCTCCTCGACCTGAGGGGCAACTTGGGTTAGATGTTTTGGATATGGGCTAAAACTTTTTGATTATGGGCTTTTGATTATGGGACGAGGCCTAAAGTTCAAAAATGAGAGTGAATGGCCAGTCCCCTAAAACGTGGGATAAACGGAGCCCTAAAATAAAAACCCGTTATCCCTTCCTCTTCGGCTAAAAAAAATTCCTCTTAAGCTCCTCAGTCCTCCACGGCTCCACATACTCCCGACTGCAAACCCTCAAAATCGAACAGAAAATGCCGGGTCCTGTCGTTGAAGAAATTAAAGCCGAAGAAAAGTTTCAGGTACCCTTTTAATATTAGATCAATATCCCCTTTCGTGGCTTATATACACATATATACATATAAATTCAGTGTTTATTGTTGATGAACTGAAGGATGAGCCAGTAATAGAGGACGTGAAAGAGGACGAGGACCATGAAGATGATGCTGAAGATTCCGATGAGGAAGATGATGACAAGGAAGATGGTAGCCCAGGTCCTTTTTCTTGAAAACCTAATTCTTTTAATATTTATGTTCATTCAACGATAATTTATCTTCTTCAGGCATTTTTTATGTAGGGGATATAGGTTTGATCAAGGGTTAGGCACTCATTTCAGGTTATATTTTGTGGGTTTTTAACTGGTCGTTAGGACTGCTTTTATTACTTGTATACCAATGCATTTGTTGTGCTTCCTTTACGATTAATATGATTCAAAAGTGAAAACAGGAGCAAGTGAAAGTTCTAAGCAGAGCAGAAGCGAGAAGAAGAGCCGCAAGGCCATGTTGAAACTCGGAATGAAACCTGTTCCGGGTGTTAGTCGGGTCACCATTAAGAGAACAAAAAATGTAATCTTCTATACATTTTGCACTCGGATGCATCTTTGATCTTTCTGTTGGCTGTTGCTAAACCTTTATAACCAATTCATGAAATTGCAGGTATTATTTTTCATCTCAAAGCCTGATGTTTTCAAGAGCCCAAATTCTGATACATATGTCATTTTTGGAGAAGCTAAGATTGAAGATCTGAGCTCTCAGCTTCAGACACGGGCTGCTCAACAATTCAAGATGCCCGATATGGGTTCTGTGATGGCTAAACCTGATGCATCTGCCTCGGCTGCGTTAGAACAGGTGGACGAGGAAGAGGAAGAGGAAGATGTCGATGAAACTGGTGTTGAGCCTAGGGACATTGATTTGGTCATGACACAAGCAGGGGTGTCCAAGGGCAAGGCTGTCAAGGCTCTGAAAGCTCACAATGGAGACATAGTCAGTGCCATCATGGAGTTAACTACCTAAATAGGATTATTAGCCTACATTTTAAGCCCACCTCTTGAGATAATTTTGGGAATTGATCGTAGAATTTTGCTTCATTATGGTCTTTCACCAAACCTAATTGAGTAATGGAACTTTGCTATTTTGTGTTGTTGAAAGTTTACGTCTGAGAACATATATGGCCAGATGTTTTTTTTCTGGTTTTTAGTCCATTCAATTTTCTGTCCATGTCCTACTTTTCTGGATTCGTCCATCTTTTCACCTTCTCAATAGGGAGCCAACAAACGAAGCGATAAACCTGGCTCTACTTCATTAGGGTAGATAGGCTTCCTGTTTCTTTGGAGCCCCTCTTCCAATTTAATGGTCTACTCATTTCAATCATAAGAAATAGGTCGAAGCATGTTTGATCTTCATAATAATGAGAATTTCTTCAAATGGTACATAAAACTTGATACTTGAAAAGACTTTTTGGCTTCCAATTCCAAGCAGAACTGTCTAGACTGAGAAAAAGAGCTCCAAGTCCCTTTTTACTTTTGTGAGAAGAACCATTCTGTCAGTTGAACAAAGAGGATACCACCTTACATGTGTTTATTTTAAGAAGAATATGCGCTAGTAGAATTGAGTTTTAGGGCTTGATGGCCCTGCAGTTGAGCCTAATCTCTCCGGCAATCCCTGTAAGCACCTCAACTTGACTCATCTTAATCATAGCATCAGCAAAATCTGTTTGCCATTGCGTGTTATTCCTTGCATAGTCTTTGACTTCTGATAGTGCCTCGGGACTTGTAGTCAGTGTCTGGTCCGAGGTAAATAATCCTCGGTTTCTTAAAACATTGACATAGTAGCTCTTCTCACATATAGTCGGGCTGAAGTTCATGAAAACAACTGCATTAGGATCGACATTTCCATTAGGCCCTCTTGGACATTGCTGCTTCAGTTGCATAGCATATAAAGGGTCCAACGTTGGATCTTGACCGTTTGCCGGGCTGAAATTGTATAATCTGTTGCTGAATTGTGTGCAGTGAGAGCAACCAATTGTGTGTGCACCTGTATTCAGGAGTATATCGGGCTTGTCAATTGGAAGATCATGTAATGACTTTTGATTTAGTCTAGTACGAAGTTATCTTACCTAGGAGTGCAACCATGTTGTCCGATGACAAATCTTTCTTTGCAAAAGCCCGAAGGTTTTGGTCTAGGTTGTTGAATGGTGCTGGTATATCAATAGTTTCTGCAGCCAGTGAAATTCGCCCGTCTCTTCTTCCTGCTGGAACATCCCACCCGAGTCCTCCAGACTACATGCCAAAGAACAAGTCTTTTAAAAGCCACTAACAAACCCATATTCCTCGGTTAAAAAAAAAAAAAAATTACTATTTCGTGTCAATTGTTACATCGTCTAATGTTGTGTCGCGTTTAGAGTACTAACTACTACTATGGAGTCTCTTGCAGCATATGCAAGAATATCTGCACACGAAACAACTCCTCTGCATTCTTGTTCAAGTCTAGCCTTAGCACTTTCGATTGCTTCAAACCCACGAAGAGAACCAGCATTCGAGGGGCCATCCTCTTCTGCAGAATTTCGAGGAGTTGATTTTATAAGAACCGAGCCATCACACCCCTGCAAGAACCAATCAATGAATTCATGGTACACAGTGTTAGACAGTACAATCACATTACGTAATATGGACAAGAAAAAAAGGATATACTATTTACATTACCCTAACAAAGCAATCATGAAAATGCATTCTAATGAGGCCAGGGGCTACTCTGTCTCTGAAGTAGGATCTTTGGACCTCCTGCCTTATGATTAATTCTGCATTAGGACATGTATTTCTATAGAAATTTACTTGAAGCTGAGCTTCTATTTGAGAGCAGAAAATTAAGACCAAGGCCAAAAGTATGGGAAACATTATGTTTTCAGACATAAATATATCTATGTACTATCTGAATATGGCTATTTTGTCCGAAAATGTGATCAATTTATAGTAAGAATTTATGGTGCAATTTGCACAAGTAATTAGGCAAAATGGCCTTGGGAAAAACAAAATATTAGTCAAGTTTCATAGAGGTATGCAACTGAATGAAATTTTGTTGGCTAAGTTTTCAAGCAATTCTTGGATTAAATTTAATAATATAAGCGAAAATTGGAAGGACAAAATATATATGTGCTATGAATATTATTAATTTTTTATATACATATAGTAAAATTAAAAATGTTGCGGGGCACCCCCCCACCCCCCCAATGTCCCTCCAACCTGATCATGCACTCTCCCAATATGAAATTGGGAAAATGCAGCCACGGTACCAAATATTTCATTTGTGACATCCACGATACCAAACCTTTCAGAAATTCTCTCTTGGAGTCCAAATGGATGGATTCTGTTGATTTGACCGTTAGTTGACCAAAAGTTCATGGTCTAACCAAAATTTGACTAATGTTTAGAGGGTAAATTTACATTTTTTTAATATAAATTAAAATAATTAAATATTAAAAAAAATAAACAAAACAACCAACCCTTCAAAACCATCTCCTCCTTCCCCATCTCCAGACGACCACCATAACCCATGGGCACCAATGGCAACACCTGAAAACACCCAGTGCCGCCTATCCGAGGCCGACGACACCGTCACCCCAATAGAAGCTCGAGGAAACCCTTCTTCAATACGAGGAGGAGGACTCGCAGCGCCACACCCTCTCCGAGCATCTAGGCTGCGCTCTCTTCATTGTACAACAATCAGTCTCAGAGCATTATTAAGTAATGAAATAGAACTCAGAACACTTCAATTCCGCTGTGCCAATGTACCATGCGCTCCAATTCTTGTACCTTTCTCAAGAGGGATTGTGGAGAGATATGGCTTCTTAGGGTTTTAAAATTGGGCTTTTTGAAATTTGTATGATCACTGAAGCATAACAGTCAACATGCCATGTTCTAGTTTTGAGGCGACATTAAGGCTGGAGGTTGAGACAGTGACGGTTGGCAGTTGAGTGAGGGTGATTTTGGTTTTTGAGTGAGGGGGTTGGGGAAGAAAGAGATGAGGGTGGATGTGTGTAGTTTTTTTTAAAAAATTTTTTTGATTTAATTATTTTTTTGTGAAAATTGTAAATTTACAATGTTACCCTTTTGAAAATTGGTTAAAATAAGTCAAATTTTATTATTCTGGTCATCTAATGATCAAACTAACGTAAACCATTCATTTGGACTCCATGTGAGAATTTTCGAAATGTTTGGTATATGGATGACACAAATGAAAGGTTTGAGCAAAGTCTGCTACTAAATGAAATATTTGGTACCGCTACTGCAATTATCCTTATGACATTTAGGACAAGTTTTGTGGTTGGTTAAGATTCAGCTCAAACTAAGCCAATTTTATGAGAATTTCTTGGTAAATTGTTGAACTTAACATTGTCATGTTTCTTTCTTGTTGCTTATTTTAAGCCTTTTACTTGGTCGCCTTTACAAGTGTTCACATGCCCCTGTTTGGTGGCCTTTTATTTAAAAAATTTATGTTCTGAATAGTATTTTTTGGAGAATATATAATTAAAAAGTATTAAAAAAATTTGAGTTTATGTATAATATATTTTATTGTATGAATGTGTTGTTGAAAAATGATTATGAGAAATAAATTAAGTTAAAAGTAAAGGAAATCAAACATGGGCTATGCGGTTTAGCTCTCCCCTTTCAATTGTAACTCCAACTCTTGTTTTCTCATAGAGTAAACATGGAAATCTAGATAATGCACTCTAGATATAGGGTGTATTGACATTTTATTTATTGAAAATTGACGAGTATGTCATTATGAATAATTAGATAGATCATTATACGCATAATTGAAAACAACAAATCACAGTCTTTATGCTACACTGCATAACACTATACATACCAGTTGTTGTCGCTATTTTTTATTCTTCAAAAATTTAATTAATATTTATTTTTCATCTGAAAATTAAATTTTTTCTACCCGTCCAAGAATCAACGTTCAATTTGAGTCTTTTGCTACATTATTACGTAATTATATTCATTTTCTTTAGTACACAAAATTGTACATTTTTATTAACAAGATTTATCTAGGTCTTTTCTTGTCTTAATCTTTCTCGACTAAAAAAGAAAAATACACATGCAAGAGGAAGTAAGAAAATTATGCATGCATTCTTGACAATTTTTGAAATTGCAAGATGAGTCCAACTTAAAATGGATACGAAATTAATTTTTAGAGCTTGTTTGGGAGAGATTTTTGAGGGAAGAATTGATTTTGAATAGTGATGTGATGGGAAATGTGTGGTTGAAAAAGAAGAAAAAATTATTGATGTGATGGAAAACATTATTTTATTGAAGAAGGTGTGGTTGAAAATGAGAATTGATTTACGGTAGAAAAATCTAATCCTTCCCAAACAGGGCCTTAGTTGCAAAATAGTTGATTTGTTTTATTCATTGAGCAAAATATATTAAGAGCTTGTTTGGTAGCAATTAAAATCCAATTAAAATTGAAAATATAGCCGTTATTGGGTCCCACTCATCTAATAAAAGTCAACAATAATGACTAATTTTTCAATTTTAATCTGATTTTAATCTCTACCAAACAAGCTCTAATTATAATATATCAATTGGGATTTTTGTTTTTGCAATGTTGAAAGAGTCAGATGAAGTATTTTCTATATTTTATAATATGATCTTAACTTACTTAAATTAATTTTTCTAGATCTCATGTTAGATTTCAAGGAAACAACTTAATAAATTTTAGGGTAAATTACACTATGGTTTCCCAATCTTATCTATTTTCTAACAATTTCGTCTCATTCAATTGTTATTCAATCTATCATTCCCAACCTTTTATTAATTTACGGGATTCATCCCTATGAACGATTTTTATCCAAAATTTATGTTAAAGTGATGTAAAAAGACATCATTGTCCATAACTTAAAAAATACACAAAAAATAAATAAAAAAGAAAAGAAAAAAATATTAACAAAAGTGTCTCTTCAACCTACCCCACAACTAGCACCACCCAATCCACAGCCGCCACCAACAACCGTAGTCTCCACAATTAATATAGGGCGAAAAAGAGAGAAGTGAAAACCAATCACGTTTCATGGCCCATTATCGCCTCAGTCCAGCTACTGGCAGCGACTCTCCCTTGTCGATAATCATAAAATAAAGAATGTGAATATATCGTTGAAAACTAGTCCAAAAAATCTCGATTGAGAACTAGATTTGGATGACTAGACCTAATCACAAGCTTGAGATTCATTCAATACTGTTGAAAGTTTTTGACGCAGTAATGTGGTTCTTTTCGTACGTATATTATATTTGCGTATATACTCATATTCTACAATGACCAAATATTATAACTCAACATAGAACAATTTGGCAACTGCATCCCTTTTGAAAAATCGGCCTTCTTTTTTCTCCTTTCTTTCTTTTCTCTTTTTATCTAGACATATTTCCATCTTTGCCTGAAAGTTAATTCTAGTGGCTTTTAAGGAGTCTTACTTTTTACTTTTTCATAAAAAGTAAGCTTTTATTTATTATTCTCTTGTCCTTTTTATAAACACGTTACCATGTTCATAGCCATGTCTTATTTTCTTTTTCTTTCATTTTTTTAAGGGAATGGAATCATGATCACTTAGGCCCACGTGATTTGGACAACCTAGGCCCACTGAATGTACAAACAATTCTGGGCCTTTATAAATTCGATTTGGAAAAATATAATTTGGTGTGTTGTGTCGGTACATTTCAACGTGCTGTGTTGCTTTCAATTGGGTTAGTGAGTGTGTTGAATTGAATGCATCAAAATCATTGGTGTGATTTCTTCATTACCAAACAAATATAATGTTGGATTGAAAATGGGCACACACCTATAAATGCATAGGGACGATTCATAAGCATCCTATGTAGTTTAAGACCGACTATATGAATTCTTTCTTTATCGTCGTTAGTATTTATTAGAAGAGTCGAAGTGACTAGATGTTTCATAATCATATTGAGTTCGTCATAGAAACTGTTAAAATTTTCGTTAGATATCCTCATAAAAATATGCATTATTGCGAATTTTTAGATAGCAATTCAAATTTTGAGAAATAAAATGTAATTTAATAAAGTTGACATTTAAAAGTCTCGTTATTTGAGCATTCCGAGGGAATCAGTATTGCGATTTTTGTTGTTTAAATTTTGATATAATTTTTCTCCTTTCTAACGTGTTATACTGAAATTGTATTGAGTCGATAATGAAATCTAAGATACATTGGGATAAAATCCTTACTAACCACATGACAAAATTTGATCAACCATACTAAAACAAATGCTAAATTACACTTCCTAGTAGTAGATTAAGGCTTTGTTTGGTAGGGCTTTTGAATTGCTATTTTTGAATATTGTTGAATAATGTTTTGAAAGTATTTTGTCTCACTAGAACGATGTTTTTAGGGAAAGATTTTTTACAAGAAGCAAAAGCAGAAACTTTGTCAAACGGACCCTAAAAACCATATTTGCAGCATTAATGGAAAACACTCTTCCATCCCTCTCATATATAATATTACTTCTACAATATAAAAGTATAAAACAATTTATTGAATTAAATCAATCATCTAAATCATTTATCCATTGCTGATTGTACAAGAAAATGAGTAAGAATTACGAGTTGTATACAAGCAAATGACTGAAAATTGAATCTTCAAAACGAATACAAGGAAAAGAAATTTTTTCCTTTTATCTCCCTAATTGAATCAAATTGAAGGAATAAGAAACTAAACAATCTGAAATTCCACAACATCCTTTTTAATCTTAAAAGCAGCTTTTAAGTGACTTTTCTCAGCAGTATATATAGAAAAGCCGCTTTTAAGCACGATCAAGCGACAGATTAATGAAAGAAACGTGCATTAGAAATAGACAAGAAATGAAGAAGAATCTGCAAT